CATTACTGGTGCAGCCAAAAGTATCTTTGTGAGATTTACTGTTGTTCACCTTTCCTCAAGTACTCTTGATTGACTAGACATCAACACTATATGTGTCTTTGTCTATTGTGACTGTCTGAAACAAAGGACATTTTAAAATGTATTTCTACTGACCAGCAAATCCACAGAAAATCAACAGATTGTTAAAAACAATTACAATGATCAGACACACCCCTGAGGCTAAACTGGCATGTTTATGGCAAGCCGTTTTACATAAAATTGATTAGTCTGGCTATCTGTAGTTGCGTTCTAGATACCTAAAAATGAGTTTTGACTAAGAACAACTACATTTTGACTATCCAGAATGCTAATTTAAGATATCTGTATTTACATTCTGACTAGTCAGAATAACAATTCAACGTATCTTAAAAGGAATTCTGACAAGTCAAAATGTAATTCAAGATATCTGAAATGATGTCACCTGATTCGTCATTTGTAGGGTCAAACATCCGTAATTACAAACAGTTGTGTGCATAGATTTCTGTCTGATTTCCTCAGACTTAGACGACAAGGGATAGATACTGACAGATCGCAAAGCTATCCCAATTAAAATAGATGTAAATACTGACAGACTTTAACTAATTATTTTGGTAAAAACTGTGAATTATTTAAATTTGAAATTAGGAATATGGCGATTAGACTAGACAAAAGAAAAAAGGATCCCAAATAAAATATGCAATTTTGAGAATATCAAATAAAACCAAGCGTTTGTGTTGGACTGACAGACCACAGAATAAGACTAAAATGACTTTTTAATGTTTCCGCCAAAATGCTACGTAAATCTGTGACGTTTTGACTAGTCAAAATAATTATTCTAGATATCGTCAATATCATTCTGACTAGTCAAAATGTTAATTCAAGATATCTTAAATAGAAAAGCTGTCTACATGGAAAAAACATTCAAGATATCTTGAATTCATTTAGAGATATATTAAAAGGAATTTTGACTAGTCATAAGTACAGTTCTAGATATCTCTAAATTAGTTTTGCCTATAGTCGTTATTTGCTATCAAGATATCTGCAATTTAATTTGCACTAGTCAAATCCTTATATGTGATATCTAAAAATACAATTAGGACATCTTGAATCATGATGTAATTTAAGATATCTTTAATTGTAATTATGACTAGTCAGAACTAAAAGTGAGATATCTTGAAAGCAAATAACGACTAGTCAAAATTAACTTAGAGATATCTAGAACAGTATTTTTGACTAGTCAAAATTAATTTTAAAATATCTTGAATTGAAGCCTCCATACATCTTAATGGTAAATCTGACGCCATTTATACTGGTCAGAATGAAATTTATAGATATCTTTAATATGTATTTTGACTAGTCAAAATATAATTACATATATCTTAAATAGCTAATATGTTTAGTCATAAATTAATTTCAGATATCTGGAATGTAAGTGTGGTGAATCTGATTTTATGTTAAAAAGGTTTGTCACACATGTTGACTATGTAGAATGTTTAGTGCACAGATTCACAGGCAAATGCAAGAAGCCGTCAGCCCTCTGAGCTGCGTCTTATCTCATCTCCAAGCTCAATTAGGTCTGGCATCCATGGAAACTAAAGAACAAAGATGCTGTCAGATCACACCATACTGGAAATGTCATTTAACTTGTTTTTTTTGTTTTGTTTTGTTTTTTCATATTTGTTCTGATACAACAGTTCAAAATCATAAAAGCACTTTTTATTTGTTTGAGGTATAGTGTTTTAAAAAAATGATGTCCCATCAAAAAACTGCATATAAAAACAATTCTAATTCTATCAACCTAAGCAGCAAAAAAAAAAAAAAAAAAAAAAAGGTCTGACAGATGACATCAAATATAATACAAATTTGATATCTGTCCAGAAATGGAAAACAATTTTTTTTTAAATCATTGGTGCTGAGCTTGCAGAAGTCAGAGTTAACTTCTCAACTAAACAGTCGGGCTACAACAATCCGATGACTCAGATGTTTTATGTGGTTTCAAACCCAGTGGGCCAAAAACATATTAGATTTTATGCTGGAATTTGTCATATTTCTGATTTGCTACTGGAAGGAATATTTTGCAGTACTGCAGCTAAATGCACAGGTGAGTATATATAGTTTATTTATGACCCGTGAGCCTCACACACAGAAACACTTCATGAATATAAGCAGAAAATTCAAAAGTAACAAGAAATGATGAAAATCAAACACAGAAGCAAGAAACAAAAAATGCATTTTGTTTCAGTGAGAATCAAAAAACTGGATTCCATCTTTACAGACTATTAAAACATCAACATATACATTTCTAGTAGGAATAAACTACATGCATCTCCAACTAAAATTCTGATGACGTATACAGTTTTTCTTTTGTATATGTTTGAATAAATCATATTTGTCTTGGCATTTTAAAATACTTGAGCAGCTCAAATTAGCCAGCTGTTGAAAATGTCTTTGTGTTTGTTTGTGCAGCTCTTCTTTGCCTGTCTACTGAGCCCTTTCATCTGTGAAGCTCTGCTGGTGATTAAAGTTTTTTGCTAATGACGTTAGAGCAAACACAGCAGGATGCATTATAGAATCTGGAGTGCATTGATTTTAATTGTATGCTTTTTTTTTCAACTGTACCACAGGGCATCCAGTAAAAGGATTTCTGAAAACAACCGTGTGTATAAAGAGCATAGGGACAATGACAAGGACTTAAGGGGCTTTTCTTAAAGGAATCAGACAACATTTGTTCTCTGTAAACAACGGGAACACAAAGTGAAAATCCGCTGATTATTTACTAAATTAATATTCAGCCCCATATAGTGCAACCATAAACCATGATAGTTAGAAGCACAGTGTGACTCTGAAGAATACTGTTCAGCAGGTGGCAAGATAAATCATGTCAGTGCAGACTGTCTTCAAAGGTTGAAGATGAATAGAAAATAATTATTTTAAAAAATGCAATATTATATTTCAGCATAAAAGACTTAGCCTGTGCAGCTAAAACTTAGATCATCTACACAGTTCTCACCAAAGCATCATGTCTTACTGTCAAAACATTGCATAGTGGACAACAGAGTTCACATTATAGCTGTATACTGGAAAAAAGGATGCAAAAATAAATCATCATATTTATTTCTAGCTTGTTGACACAACCATGCGCTCAAAGTGAGATTGTATACGTTTGTCAGAAGCTCCCTAAAATAGAAATACTGTACTTTCAATGTGCATGTATTTGTGCCGAAGTTCAAATAAAAGAGCACAGTTCTCATAAAGAAATATGGTTATATTTACTCGGAAACCTTCAAAAAAAAAAGTTTGACAAAGTGGAAAGAATTCTAAATGTCAGAATATACAGTAGATCTTAAAGGTAAAAAGTTCATTAAAATCCTCTAGTAACAATGACTTGAGTATGTTTTACACTGAATCACCTGACAATAGGATTTTGGAAGTTTAAATAAGAGAGTAACGACATAGTAAATTAAATGTTCATTCTTCTATCCGTCCATTAATTATATTTACCCACGTTTTCCATCTGGGTCATGGGAAGCTAGTTCCAATCTCCAGTGGATACTGTGCAAAATAAATAAATAAATACATCAATACATACATAAATAAAAGGGGGATGGGGTGCATACACTGGCCAAAGTTGCAAGTTCATCTCATTGTCAAACAATCATTCACACTCTCACCTATGCCCAGAAATGAGTTACCATTTAGCCTAACACGCATTCATTCAACCTTTATTTATACAGGTTAATCCCATTAAGCCATGGGGACTCATTTACAAGAGAGACCTGATTCTAACAAAGAGTGGTGACAACAGTAGACAATCATAAAAGGAAGCGTACAAATTGAGAAGAACAAGTGAAACAAAATGGTATTAAAAAATAAAAGGAAAAAAAAAACATTGGTTGTAAGGCAATGTAGGATACTAAAAATAGGAACATGTCTACATTGGTTTTTGCCATGAATTTAACAGATGTGTGAAGCCACATAGAGAGGTCAAGGTCAAGAGCTTCAGATATTTTTGCAAGATATTCCAGGTAACAGGAGTGAAGTAGGAGAATGCCCATTTGCCTAGTTCAGTTCACAAACACTGCAGGTAATGATGTCCTGAGCGTGCACGCTGTAGCAGCACTCATGCAGTGACATGTAGGAGGCGATGTATGAAGGCAACAGATCAAGAAGTGATTTAAAGATGAAAATGTACTAGTGAGAGAGTATGCGTGAAGTTAATAACAACCAGTTAACCAGTGAATACAGGGTGCAATGGTGGGTACGGTAGTTACAGCCAGTTATGAAACTTAGTGCACCATGATAAGCAGCATCCAATAAGAGTGCTTCTAGTGGCATTCATGTTTTTGGTCTGCAGGTGAAAGAAGGAGCACCTGGAGAAAAAACATGCAAGTATGGGAATAACATGCAAACTCCACGCTGAAAGGATGGGAGGCGAACCTGCAACTTTCACTACTGTGAGGCAAAAAGCTTCATTTTGAAAGTAATGAAATCTCCAAAGAAGTCATCCAAGCCAGCCTAATTTACAATCTTATGAGCCGCAATCTTCAAGCTACAGAAACCAGTGGATCTGCTGCAATTTTCAAAATTACTTCAAAAAGCTAACGTTGAACCAAAATTAAAAGTCATAGTAAGAGAGTCCTGAATGAACTGAACATACTGACATATGAATTGTTGAAATAGCGCAAACATTTTGGAATGTGAATCCTGCCAAAACATAAGGAATAATTAAAGTAACAATAAAATATATAAAAAAAGATAAACAGGGAAACAATAGTGTGAATGTTTAATAAACATTCACAAAACAAGAATGTATTAAAACTACCCAGCTCTGGATACACACTGATGTGTAATCAGTACAACCTTACCTCAGATCAGAGGACATCTCTGTGTAGCTATCACAGTGCGTGAGATAAATCTGTCCAGCTACATCCAATAATAAATCAGCTCTCTGCAGAGTGCTTCAACAGAACAGTTTTACCTACCTGTAGGAGATCCCTCGAGAACCTCTCCCGTGTAACGTGACTCTTTGAAGATGGGACGGTTGTCATTTTGGTCAATGACAGTGATCACAAGTATGGCCGGTCCCTCAATGATGTTTCCAGCGAAGTCTGTGGTGGAAACCTCCAGCTGTGTGCATGAAAGGAGAAATAGCTTTATTCTCTGAAAATGTAGTGTTCTGAGGGTAACTTACAATTATAGAGATTTTTTTTAAAGATGTGCTGTTGTTCCTGCTACTCTAAAGATGCCCCATCTAATAGAATAACACAATAATTTGGAAAATGCTTCATAGTTTGAAAATAGCATAGCATCCTTTTGTCTGTGCTTTAATCAGAGATGTTTGCTGAATAGAAAGTACATATTTACAAGAATAATAGACATAACTGCATTCATTATGTACTGTATGTGGTGTCAAAGGTTTCCAATTGTTGTCAACAAAAAGTCATTTTCCCTCACTGAAAATGTTCTGTGAAAAGCCAAATTGGGCGCTTAGACCAGACAATTACTCAACCTCAAAATTCGGTTCACGAGGCAAGTGTGCATACAAATATGTGATGAGAAATATTTTCTTTTTTTTTTTAATATAAAGAATAATGTGTATAATCAAATAAAACAGGATTATTTATTTATTATTATTATTATTTTTTTTTATGTGGGGGGGGGGGGGGGGTAGTGTTTGCACAAGGTAGAGTTTAACATCATGTCAGGCAAAACCAGCCAATCCAGGATTACCAGCATTCTCAGATATTACACAGTTGATATTTTAAACCTCATCACATGTCGTAAAAAGCAAACTTTGCAGAAGAACAATGTACCTGAATCGAAGCAAACAGTTTGAATTTCAAAATCCAAATAATTAGCTATGGATATTAAGAGCTATGGTAATTAACATGCTGGATTTTAAATATTTTGGTAATAAAGTGTAATTATACAGATGACATTTTCATAATATAGCATAATAACATACTGCCTTTAGATACTGTAGAAGAACATGGACATGCACAGCATAGACTTAGAACAAGCTAAAATGTTCATAAAATAGCAAAAATAAAATTGTTTTTGAGAAAGATCACGTTTAAATGTGATCCAGTTGAGAATCTGTAAAGGAAATCTATGACTAGAGCAATGGCAGGGAACACTCTAATAACAGGACCTCACGACGGATCAGAATACAAAGTAATGCCAGTATGAAAAAACAAAACTAAAATGTGATTAGGATTCTGCTAGGGATCACTGAGAAAGGGACATTTTCTGTATTTTTTTTAATCAGTACACAGTTTGTTTATCCTTGCCACATATTAAAATGTCATAAAAATAAATACGTAAATAAATCACTGCTAATTAATATTAGTTAGGAGTACAGATAATTTCAGGTTTAACTGCAAATGTCACAAAACTTAGGCTTTGGATATACAGTACCTGTTGCATTACTCAAAGGCATGTATGGAGCCTTGCTTAATGCAACAAAAGAACTGGGTAATGAAATGTTCTGATGATATGCAAGCATTTCTACTTTGACTTACGTCCACTTATATGTTATAACTAAGAATAAAGTACATATATATATATATTTTTTTTTTATGGAGATTTCACCAATAAATTTTAATTATCCTTTAATCTGAATGTCCTAGAAGATATATTTCTAACTCTACTGCCTCCTTCATTTTGTCTGCTGCACTGAAGGATTCTCAGTTGGCCTTCATCATATATTAATGCATTCACTTTCCCCAGCTATGCAGTATTTCTAGACGTTCTCCCACACACCTCAGGGACCATGCCCGCTTAGCAGAGTGAAGTTAAAACATGCACAATACCCATTCAACAAACAAGCAGATATTAACCCGGAGTGAAACAACCTTGTCTTGTTCAGTCAGCAAACCTGTTTCTTGGTTTTCTTAAATACACATTTCTACCAGAACAGCAATAATGTTGCATTCCAAAACACAATTTAAGGTATGGACCTATACAACAAATTAATTAAGAACTAATAAATATATGATGGCAAAATAAAGGATGCTCTAAATTTACAGTTTTCTCATTTCTGAGATTATTTTTGGACCAAAGTTCTTTATTTTATTTTATTAGTAAGAACTAAGTATGTGGCATATTTGGATACATTGAGTCATTACAGGCTACAGATTGGAATGTCCACAGAATGCAACTTTTCCTGTTCTGCAGGCTTTAGAAGTTTGAAATTATTTTTAGTTTAAACAAGTAAGCATGCATCATTTTAATTTGATTTGCACACTTTGTTGCATGGTAAGCAGTTTTAATCTGATTTTAAAAAAGTATGAAATAATTTCATGTCAGTCTTTATCTAAAGCTATTGAGATTTATTTGCTTATTTTTGTATTAGTAGTGGTGTGAGGCTTCAGCTGAGATTTTCTGTGTTTCCCTTCTATCTTTACTGTCACATTAGCAATGCTTCTTCGTCCTATTAGTAATGGGTGACATAACCAAACCTCTCTGTCACATAGGTCATCCTTCTTTGTTTCCACTATCTCACGTCCCTGACTTTGTCTATGTCCAACTATCTCTCTGTCACTGTGGTGAATGGACCATATATTCTAATAGCCGTAATGACACATGCAGCTGAGCAAAGTGTTTTAGGTGTAAAAAGCCTAATGGTTTGATATATCATCTCATCCCTCTTTCCTCTCTCTGCCATGAGAATATACCTAGGGAGGCTTTTAATGAGGGGAAACAGTTTCCCATTCAGTCTGTTCCCAGCAGAAATGCTGACTCTCAACCAATGATGTTCACAACTCGATGTCTATTTCCATTCCATCTACTGAATGGCTCAAAGAAAAGCTCATACATGATAAAATAAGTACTGTATTGCTGAATTACTCATATTGGGATCCGTTTGGCAAAATATTTTAAATCCATTGGTAATAGGCATGACTAACACTTACTTTCATAGACTGATTTATTTTCACTAATCTGCACATTTCTTTGTTTTTTTTTATCTCTGTTGTAATGAAAATGTTTAGTAGAAGGAGTCAATTTTTGAATGATAACATCAGAATTGCAATGTTTTTGACAGTAGAAGGAAAAAACGTGTACTATTTCATGGAAAAACACTATAACCACTAACCATGGATATGCATATAGCAAATCAGCAGACACTAATGAGCCATTCACTAAGAATGCTTTGTCTCAGATGAACAAAGAAAGCAGTGCAGTGAAAAATCATGTTGATTTCTCTAGTGTCTTTAACATCCTCCAACCAGGCCTTGAGAGAGATAAAGGTGGACCCACACCTGGTTGGAGAGGGATGACTGACTGACGGCATGTTCAGCAACATTAAAGCACCACTGAACAATGTACTTTCTTTTGTTTTGTTTTTCACCCAACAATGTGTGCGAAGCTGTAAATGCTGTGGGGTCAGAGCAGCACACACCCGCAAAAACTAAGAAAAATGGTCAGACATATTAGAATGATTAAATTAATTTACGCACCAAGAAGCCACCCATCCTGGACCAACTTCAATATAATTAATTTTGGTTTGATTATACAGCGCCAAGTCTCAACAGAAGTTGTCTCAGGGCACTGTACAAAAACCATTATCTATATAAGGAAGGCAGCAGGTTGGACTGAATCTTCACTTCCTTGTGGTATCCCACCCTGAGCAAGTACAAAGTGGTGGTTGGCTGCTCAAGGTGCAGGGCGGGGCTTTCTCTGACTTCCTCGATTACCACTGTATAATACACCAACAAGCGTTATGCGCAAAAATGTTCAACATGAAAGCGAATGTGGCAACGAAAGTCTCCTGTTCCATTCGTGCCAGATTTCTTCAAAGATGGCTATTGCATGTGCATCTAAAGAAGAAGGACTGAGACCACTCTGAATTGTTGCTACAAACTGATTTGAGATGGCTTAGTCAAGAGAAATTCATGAAACAATTTCGAGAGCTCTCTCCAGAGAATAAGGAGTTTTTCCGTGCAGCTCAACATGCAGAATACTACTAAATAAATGATGATAAGTGGCTGGTAGACGTTGCATTTTTTAACTTATCTGACCAACAAGTTGAATGACCTTAATGTAGAGCTACAAGCAAAAGACAAAACCGTGATCGATACGATCAGTTCAGTTTATTATTTCAAACACAAAATGCAACATCTCTCCTCAAAGCTGCAGCGCTACGATTTGGCAAACTTCAAGAACCGTAGAGCAGGAGACGCAAGGGAAGGCGTGTGTGCAACTTGACAGCGCACACTACACAGAGCAGATGGAAAACTGTCAGAGTTTGATAAATGCTTTCAAGACTGTTTTACTGGAGCCAGTCGCTACATTCAGGTGCTACCCTTTCTGGGAAGATGCTGAGATTTATGCACGTCAAAGATTGAAACACTGTTTCACCTAAACTTTTCTGGAATGAGGATTGTATTATGACACTACGAGCTGACATTCAGCTTAAGGCCAGGGCAAATGGATAGTCCTGGAATTTACTCACAGAGGAAAAGTACCCCCGCATGAGGAAATGTGTTACCTCTTTGGCCGCATTATTCGGCTTCACTTATTTACAGTATGTGAGTCAGTCTTTTACCACATTAATATTATTAAGTCCAAATACCGTACCACTTTGACTAATGATCATTTGGAAGTATGCTAGAGGCTGACTATTAGCAGCTACTGGCCAGTCTATGCTGATCCATTCAGTGCAAATCATCAACGTAAGGTAATGACAAAAAATATACAGAGTTGTATTATACAATGTAAGTTCATGCAGTTATTTATGTCCTTATGATGCAGTTATGGTTGCATAACTTGTGCAACCATTTATTATGTTTTATTATCTGGGTGTCCAGATACTTCTTTAAAAAGTCTTCAGTTAATCCAAAATGCTGCTGCCTGAGTCTTAACTGGAGTTAGTAGGAGAGATCATATCTCTCCAGTTTTAGCTTATCTGTCATAGCTCTGCTCTCTGTCAGCTCCTCTGTCATGCTGCACACTCAGTAATCACTCAACTCATGTCACCTGTCACCGCTCATTATCCCACAGCTCCACCACCTGGTCCAGTCAGTACTTAAGCTCACTCATTCCTCTCAGTCTGGGCCAGATTCTCTATCCTGTCTCATCAGCAGTAGACTTTCCAGCATTCCATTGATTGACTCATCACGTTCATG